TTCTTTCTTTCTTTCTTTCTTTCTTTCTTTCTTTCTTTCTTTCTTTCTTTCTTTCCTTCCTTCCTTCCTTCCTTCTTTCCTTCCTTTCTCTCACTCTCCCTCCTTTCTTTCTTTCCTCCCTCTTCCCTTCCTCCTCCCTTATCTTCCTCACTCCCTTGTTAGTAACACACAAAAGTCTGAACTCAACCCCCAGACCTGAGCCAATAACTCACCTATACATGTTGCAGGATAACAGAGTTGGAAGGGACCTTGGAGGTCTTCTAGTCCAACCCCTTGTTCAACCAGGAGACCCTATGACATATAATAGAATAAAAGAGTTGGAGGGAACTAGAATTAAGCATTCTGACTGATTATATAGAGCAGGGGTGTCAAAAACTCGATTTTATTGAGGACTGATTCAAGGTTGTGTTTGACCTTGAGGGGGTGGGAGTGGCCATGATGGGCATGGCCATGGTGGATGTGGCTGGTGGTGGGAGGGGGTGGCCATGGTGAGCGTGACACAGGACTCATGTCGGGGGCACCTGTGGTGGCCACATCCTAAGGCAGGATTTCTCTGAAAACCTCCCTCATTCTCATAATCTTCCTTCCTTCCTTCCTTCCTTCCTTCCTTCCTTCCTTCCTTCCTTCCTTCCTTCCTTCCTCCTTCCTTCCTCCTTCCTTCCTTCTTTCCTCCTTCCTTCCTTCCTTCCTTCTTCCTTCCTTCCTTCTTCCTCCTTCCTCCCTCCCTTCCTTCCTTCCTTCCTTCCTTCCTTCCTTCCTTCCTTCCTTCCTTCCTTCCTTCCTTCCTTCCTCCTTCCTCCTTCCTCCTTCCTCCTTCCTCCCTCCCTCCCTCCCTCCCTCCCTCCCTCCTTCAATAGAAAATGAATTTTGCTTCTGGGAAACATTGCTAGCTGGGGGGAAAAGGCAGCAGAAGCTTTCTTACCTCCTGTATGACATTCCCAGTTTGTCCAACGAAAGAAAGGGATGGAGGTGAGCCGGCATTGCATGATTGCCTTGCAAAGGCATTACCTGACCTAACATTTACAAATCAAGCCGTGCAAAAGATTTCCCATCTGGCAAAAAAAAAAAAAAAGAACACTTGTACTTTCTTTTTGCCAGAAAACCCTACCTTTGGTCACAAGGAATGTGCAGTATGTTTAAGTGTCTACTGAACGTTGACTGAACATTCACATGCCATGCTTATGTAGATGACATCATGCAGTGGTCCTCCGATGTTTTTGGTTTGGTAGCCCAGCCCAAGGGGGAGGGGAAATAATTCCATTTGAGTGGCAGGTGCAGGTGTGCACAGCTCAATTTGTGCAAGCCCATGCTCCTGCCGCTCATGTCGGTGGAGGTGCATGCAGGAGTGCAAGCACAAGTGCCCATCACTTGTGTGAATGGAGCTACGCATGCAAACGTGCTTGCCTGCCATTTACACGGCCCAGTTCTGAATGGGTCATGTAGTGGGCTGCAGCCCGAGAGTTGGGGACCCCTGATATAACGTATTCATTTCCGGGTTAGGTAAGGAAAGTCTTCCACATTTTTTCCTATTAATTTTCTGTTAGATTGTTGAAAGACAATCACATCCTAGAGAAATTCTTAAGAGTAAAATATATGGAACATAGAAGATAGATGATAAGTAGGTAGGTAGGTAGGTAGGTAGGTAAATTAGATAATAGATAGATAGATAGATAGATAGATAGATAGATAGATAGATAGATAGATAGATAGACAGACAGACAGACAGAAATGGATGATAGGCAGATGGATGGATGGATGGACGGACGGACGGATGGACGGACAGACAGACAGACAAACAGACAGACAGAAATGGATGATAGGCAGATGGATGGATGGATGGATGGATGGATGGATGGATGGATGGATGGATGGATGGATGGATGGATGGATGGATAGATAGATAGATAGATAGATAGATAGATAGATAGATAGATAGATAGATAGATAGATAGATAGATAGATAGATAAGAGAGACAGAGACAGAGAAAAGGTGAGTCTAGATGATGTATTGAAACTCCATCTGAGATAGGTGCTACCATGCAACTTATTATTTATTATTTACTATATGGTATACAAGGCCAGGGAGTCTACAATGTTTACCCATAGTAGAAGTTCTGGCAGCCAACAATCACTAGTCTTTCATCCGAGTGAAGCACGTTGTTAAATCGGTTGCAGCCCACCACTGCACACACACACACATATAAACACACATATGGTATGCATGTGTACATGCATATGTGTATGTACTGTATGTACTGTATATATGTATTACAAAACTCCAAGAAGTAAAGATATTGAGATTTTCCATACAGTAAGTAAAGGGCACTTTAAATATTCATAGTTATTTCTGACTTAAAGACTCTATAGAGAAAAAAAAATATCCAACTAGCAAACTGTGTTGATAAGTACAGTAAAAAATAATAATAGAAGCCCGGGGTGACTAAACCCGTCTTTAATTAAAGGATTCTATAGAACTCTTTACTGCTGTATTAATTTTTCCAGCCGATCCTATTTCCCACACTTACAAATGCCATTGATCCAGAGAAAGATTTACTTTAGTTTTCAAGTGTTTTGCTATAGTAAATCTGGCAGCTGAACAACAAACACTTAATTATTTGCTTGAGTTACATCACTTTTTATGTTCTGGGAAAAAGGGCCAGGAAGAGTTACAATAATGTTACACTACTGGAAGAATTCTCAGTACAGGGGTAGTCCTCAACGTACAACCACAATTGAGCCCAATTTTTTTGTTGCTAAGCGAGACAGTCATTAAGTGAATTTTGCCCCATTTTATGACCATTCTTGCCACAGTTGTTAAGCGAATCACTGTAAGTTGGGAAGACAGTTGTTAAGTGAATCTGACTTCCCCATTGACTTTGCTTGTCAAAAGGTCACAAAAGATGATCATGTGACTCCGCGGACAGTTGCAACCATCGTAAACATGAGTCACTTGCCGAGGGTTTGAATTTTGATGACCATGGGGATGTTGCAACCATTGTAAGTATGAAAGTCACTTTTTTCAGTGCTCTTGTAACTTTGAGTGGTCACTAAATGAACTGCTATAAGTCGGGGACTACCTGTAGCATTTTGTCAGCTCCAAAGCTCACTTTTCTAGTACCTCACTGCAGCTTGTCTATACTAACTTCATCATCTTCATTTAATGACTCCATAGTCCTTTGTGGGGTGGAGTTTGGGCAAATGAATGGGGAAAGCAGTGTGTTTTAATGGCCGGATGCCCTTCCTGTCACCAGTGCAGAGTTTTAGTTCAGCAGATATATTCTCAGTCTGCCCAGTGAGAGAAATGTCCGCCTCTACTTAGCTTGCCTATACTAACTTGAAGCTCTCCAAATGCTGTTGGATTAAGAGGCTTCTAAAGGGGAATATACAAACCTCTTTGCTGAGTTTCGAGTTCCCACTAAAGCTTTGTAGTCCAAAGGAGCCATCAAAATGTTTATTCCGCCAGTAATGTTCTTTCCCGGATAGGGAGTCTGTTCTGACCACGGCTTCCTGAGACCATGATTAAGCACACACTTAGTCCAAACAACTCTTGTTTTATTTCAAAGCTAGGAATTATTTTCATTTCCAGCTGTAATGAGTCCCAAACAGTTCCTCAATATAAGCACCCACCTTTATCTCCTTTGAATTGCTGCCAGCAACTAAAGTGCCAAATTAACTAGTAAAAAGCCAAAGTACGAAGTCCACACAGAGCTTCAAGGTTTAATCCGAACAGAGCGAACAACATTGCTTCCTGCAAAGGTTCCTGTTCCTTTGCATTTCCTTTATACCTTAGGGGAGGGGCAATCACCTCCAAGCCTTTCTCCTGAGTCACCCCTTTTGTCTTAACTGCTCTTGCCTTCTGGCAGCTCTGCGCACATGCACCCTGGGAACAGGCTCCCCTTGTTCCTCTGCCTCACTGCTGCCAGACTCTGGAGGCTCCAGAGTCAGCACACAACTCCCAGATGGTCCTGGCTCCATTCCTATATCAGATGCAGGATCCTCAGCTGAGTCCTCCCCAGACTCCTGGACTGGTCCCAGTTCTTCCCCACTGTCCAATTCCGCTGCCATCTGCACAAGCTGCCAGCGAACTACAACACCTGTCTATTTGATCAATCATTCCCTGGTCATCTCTCGTTTGGACAATTGCAATATGCAGCACATGGATTACCCTCTGAAAACTCTATGGAAATTTTCAATCATCTGGGTCATGGTTGTCCCAAATAAAGCACACCATTCCCTCACCGATATCATATCTGCTGCTGCTCTCTTCACTGTCTCTGCCTCCTGCTATTTTTTTAATTTAAGAATATAGAACATAGAGTTGGAGGTTTTAATTGTTAATTATTAATTAATTGTTAATTGTTCTCACTGTTAGTTCTAAGTTTGTTCTCTCCTTGGTTAGTTTCCAACTATTGTTTCTTGTCTTGCCTTCTGGTACTTTGGAAAATACTTTGAAAACACCCCACCCCACTCCTCATCTTGGTAGGAGCCGCTCAGACATTGGCCATATTTGAAAAGAAATTCACAAGTTTGCCCGGTTTGAATAACTTCAACTCTGTTGTCCAGCTCTTCTCAAGACATAAATATTTCTATGGTCATTTCGGAGTTGCCAACAGAAAGGGAGCGGGGAAAGGGGTTTGAAAGAGCAGTGTGGCAGCTTGCAAATCGAAAGTGCATTCCATACATAGTTTTTCAAAGATAGTAACTAGGTGACTGAAGTTTCTGCCATGCAAAATTCTAACTGGAAAGCATGATTGATGAGTCTTGGCTATGGATGTGTCCCATTGAAGAATATGAATTATGATACACCCAGGGGTGGGGGCAAACCAGGGTCAAGGGTGACAATGAATGATGTGCCTCAGAGTCGCCTACACCCAGGCAGTGCCGGACATGTTAACTCCCAATAAATCCTTTGAAAATTTGGAAGTTTGGCTCGAGGCTCAAGATTTAATTGGGGGTAACTGCCGGAATCCTGACAATAGCTTTCTAGTCTTCCTGATCTGATTTTAGTTTGCTTCCTGATTTGATAGGTGGCCCTTGACTTATGACCATAATTTTCCAGAATTCTCAAAGCCAAGGTTGACCAAATAGTGCTAGAACTTGGAAACAAGCACATCTTGGAAGTACCAAATGTGAAGAAGCATTCAGCTCCCCTGTTTTAATTTCTGAGAAAGTGTTAAACAGTTGTGTGAGCCTGCTCTTCCAGCAGCCCTCCGTCTGAGGCATGCTAGAAAGGTTTTTCCACTTTGCTGCTTGTAGTTTTGCAGAATATTAGCTTTAGTTATCAGAAGTGCTGAGTAGGAGTGGCCCTGAGCATGGAGCCGATTGGATTTGCATCCATAAAATTGATAAGCTTCAAAGAGAAAGAGAAAGAAAGGAAGGGAAATAATTGATACGATTCTATTTCAAGGTGATTATATTCCTTTGCTTGATATGTGTGTGTGTGTGTGTGTGTGTGTGTGTGTCTGTGTGTGTGTGTCTGTGTCTGTGTGTTTGGGTGCATATGATAGCTTTTCAATCACATCTTCTGCACATTGCAGCTTTCATATCCCCTCAAGGTGGGAAGGAAATGTCTTCTGCATAGTTAAATAATTCAAGTTCAGAGTAAATAGCAAACCTGGGAACGAAATGAGGAAATGGTGCAAAAGTAAATAGCCACCAGTCAGAATCTGCACACCAGAGAATTGTACATATGGCCCTCTGCCTGTTTGCTGTCTTCTTTCCAATACGCAGCTTTCCATTCATTTCCTGCAGGGTGGCTGAGTTCAGAAACGGAGAGAGGTTAGAGAAAGTGAAGCTGAACTGCATCCTGGAAAAGAGACAGACCCTTTGCATTGCTGCTATTTTATTTGTTTTGTTTTATCATTCTATTCTATTCTATTCTATTCTATTCTATTCTATTCTATTCTGTTCTGTTCTGTTCTGTTCTGTTCTGTTCTGTTCTGTTCTGTTCTGCTCTGCTCTGCTCTGCTCTGCTCTGCTCTATACTTCTATTTCATTCCATTCCCACCCCCACTCAATTCATTCCATTCCATTGTTTATTTTATTTCTTATTTTATTTTATTCTATTGTGTTTTATTTTATGT